AATGTACATGCTATTCAGTATATATGGAATTGGTCACCTGAATGTCAAAATGCATTTAAAAAAGTAAAATCGTTACTCCAGTCAGACATGCTGCTTACTTATTATGATCCAAGTCTTGAAATCATCCTTGCTGCAGATGCATCCGACTATGGTATTGGTGCTGTTATATCTCGTCGTTTTCCTGACGGAAGGGAGAAAGCTATTGCACATGCATCTAGAACACTGAGTACAACCGAACGCAAATATAACCAAATTGAGGAAGAAGGTTTGGCGCATATCTTCGCAGTCAAAAAGTTTCACAAAATGCTTCATGGTAGGAAATTCACTCTATTTAATGACCATAAACTCCTGTTGTCGATATTTGGTTCGAAAAATGGCATTCCAGTGTACACTGCGAATCGGCTTCAAAGGTTGGGCTGTCATGTTACTGGGATATAATTTTGATATCAAATACAAACCTACCTCTGAATTTGGCCAGGTAGATGCATTATCATGGCTGCTAAGCCATCAGAAGTTGGAAAGCGAGGATGTTGTTATTGCATCCATCTCTGTTGAAGATGATGTAAACAGAGTTCTGGTAGGCGCGACTCAACTTCTTCCGGTGACTGCAGTTGAGGTTGCCAGCCACACACTGCGTGATCCAGTTTTACAGCAAGTATCAAAGTTCATCCGATTTGGCTGGCCTCCACATGTTCATTCAAATGTTTTAAAACAGTTTTACCAATCCTTATCCATCGTTAATGAATGCATAATGTTTGCTGATCGTGTTGTGGTTCCAGCTAATTTTCGTAACCATGTGCTCCGTCAGCTTCATACATCACATCCTGGTGTTGGGAAAATGAAGGCGATCGCTCGCAGCTATGTTTACTGGCCCAACATCGATGACCATATCGAAGACCTCGTTCGCAAATGTAGTAAATGTGCTCAAGCATCAAAGTGCCCACACAAGACAGAACTATGTTCCTGGCCACGACCGGACAAACCATAGTCCCGTGTTCATGTTGACTTCGCTGGACTGTTCAATAGTATGCATTTCTTAATATGTGTCGACGCGTTTTCCAAATGGCCAGAGATATTTCCTATGCATTCTGCCACATCAATTGCAACAGTGTTCCACCTACGTCAACTATTCTGTCGTTTTGGTATGCCTGATGTTCTGGTGTCCGATAATGGATCGCAGTTCACCTCATCACTGTTCTCAGATTTCTGCAAACTGTTTGGCATCCAGCATATTCGTAGCCCCCCGTATCATCCCCAATCGAATGGACAGGCTGAACGTTTCGTCGACACCTTTAAGCGTGCTTATGCAAAAGCGAAGGGGAGGGAACAATAGAAGAAATTTTGGATAGATTCTTGCTGCATTATCGTGCTACGCCAAATCCTTCCGCCTCAAATCAGTTATCCCCAGCGGAAATTATGTTTGGCCAAAAGATCAGAACTGCCCTCGACTCAATTAAGCCTAGGCAAGTAAAGCAGGGCTGCAGAAATACAAAAATGGAAAACCAATTCAATCGCCATCATGGAGCTAAACGTCGAGTTTTCAAATTGTATCAGCAAGTTTATGTACGAGATTTTCGCTATTCACCTCCGAGATGGATTCGAGGACAAATAGTGGGGCAGAAAGGAAGGGTTTTATACAAAGTGAATGTAGAAGGACAGTTATATGTCAGACACACGAATCATATACGAGATAGACCCGACAATGGGAGACGAGACCTCACGTTAGAAGTATTAGTAGATACATTTAATCTTCCGCAGCCGGAAGCCCGGGACACAGATCACACTCTATCCAGTACCACACGAAGGTCAACTCGACAAAGAAGAGCTCCGAAACCTTTTCAAATAGATCCAAAAAGCAAGTCCTACACTTTTTACGGGGAGAGGTGATAGGATCCCACGCACTTTGTTACTGATCAATTATTTCAACGGCTGTTAGCTGTCTGTATTGTTGTAAAAATGTATAAATACCATGTGTTGTTTTCCTAAATAAGTTCTTTGTCGTAGTTGTTGTACTGCAATATACAGTCACAGGCCAGCCTTTGTCTTTTGATATTTGCGTGGTTCACTGTATCGGAAGGTACCACAAGCAGATAGGCATATTAGTCAGGCGCAGACAGAACAAGGCGACAACGTCCTCATTTAATTCCCTACAGTTATAACAAATTGGCGACGGGGTTTACCTTAATTCATTGCAGTTATAACAAGCAAGCGACGACGGGTTTTATTCTGTTCAGCGCAGCTATAGAACATTTTTGACTGTGTTAATTACAACCCAAATACAATGTCTATCTCTCTGGACGATCTCAAATCCATCTTGCAGCAGCAGCAAGTTCAGAATGAAGCAGCTCAACTAAAATTAATCGAAGCTCTCACTCAGAAGCTGTCCATTCAAGTTCCCTCAACATCTCATTCAGACAAATATGAAAGCATCTCAAATTCCATCAGTGAGTTCAACTACGACCCAATATCTGGTCTCGTATTTGATGCATGGTTCAATCGTTATGAAGACGTTTTCCGTATTGAATGCTACATGTTTGATGATGCTGCCAAAGTCCGATTGTTACTAAGAAAACTTGGCACTGTTGAGCACAACAGATATGTTAACTTCATTCTGCCTAAGAACCCACGACCTTTCACTTCATTACATATCCTTTTGCAGAATTCTACACCAATCAGATATATCGTCGTCCGTTCGCTAGGAGATGACACTGTAGTCGCTATCCCAAACACTTGGGTTGTGCGAAGTTGTTTATGTGCGTACAGCAGCACAGCAAACCATCTAGAGCCTGTGTTTACCGGGGCTGGGTGGTCAGTGTTTGAATTCCGTCAACTGCAGGAATTTGGTAAGTTGGCATATTTCATAATCACCCTTCTAGATACGTATGAGAATTGTAAAAAGGGTGTAGAGCTTTTGAGAAGCAATGATCAAGGCACCAAGAAGGTAGACATGGACGATGATACGTTGCCAATGCCTAGTAAGAGACCGAAAAGGTAGGTACCGTTTTCTGTCTAACATATTTTTCAGGGATGCCAAGAAAACTGAGAAGAATTTCCTTTACAACTCTATGGATATTGATGTAGCCGCCAGTGAAGTTGGTTGCATAAAACCACAATATCTAGATTATAATACATTTGATGACTTCGTAGCCCCAATTCCAAGGTATTAACCTAATTAAAAGCTCTTCATTTTCAGTACTTCTAGTGCTCCCATATCCCATTCTTCATCTCCTATTGGTAAAAAGACAACTGTGTCTGACCGGTAGGAATAATTGTTAAAATTTTTATTCGTGCTCTAGATTGCCGTCTAACGAAGATGCCTCTGAATCCACAAATAAGAAAATACTCGGTAATTACTTCAAAATAACTATTCATCTAAAGATGCTGTAATGGAAAGTATCAATTTGAGTACAAAAATCCTGAACATTGTTACAATGAACCACAAATCTCGACTGCAAACCAACCTTCCAGCAAACGGTGACTTAACACTGGAGTTTCCGATCGAGAATGAAGACCAGTTAGAGATGCTGGAAGCATCTTTAAGAGACGAAAAGTACAAACAGCAATATGTGAGTTGACATATTTAATTCTTATTTCTTGTAGACTGCTAAGATGGTTAGCTGCCTTCAGAGTGATCCAAAGTTATCACTTAAGGTCATGATGCACCATGTTCTAAAACCTGAAGTGGCTTTGAAGTTTACATTCCAGGGGACTTTGACAAAGTCCAGCATTGTGCCTTATACCTTTTATAAAATAATGAGATGTAAGTTTCATTAATGAAGTACTTAGTTCTGTAGCTGTAATTATGACGCAGTTCTCCGGCCAACTAATGACGTCGAGAGAGGTTGGTGACATAATGGATAAGGCCACGAAATCGTACTTTCATAATTCGAAAGATCGTGTCCAAAGGCGTAACCTGAAGAAAGGAATTCAGGTAATATTGTGAAACGCCCGCTTTGTTTTATAAGTCAACGTTTATTCAACATGTAGTAATCACAACATTGTTTTCATTTTTAGGCAAATGAAAAAGATACCAGGGGATATAACAGTGGCAGTTATGTAAGTAAACTTTTATAAATGTAAATGCTTAGAATGTGCTGAGCACAATTTTTCATCAACTAATCTTTTATTTCGCTTATTTAAAGGATGCTACCAGTGGATCTCACTTGACGGAATTGCAGTGACATTGTACTACAGTTTATAAATACAAAAGTCTCTCAATTATAAAAACTGATTTTTTTCTGTAAACTAAATCAATTACGCCGGCGTAGGGCACAGGTGATGATCATAAGTAGCAGTCTTTTCGTTCTGAAGTAATACTAGTCAGTGCTGAATATGAGCTGCGAAGGCTTGAATTAAGCTGAAAAAATTGCCACTATGTGCTGAATTGCGTGTTTTCTTCCTACAGTAATGCTAGTCAGTGCTGAAAACGATCTGAAAGGGTTGAAATAAAGCTGATAAGCTAACCCAGTAGGTTCTGATCTACTTCTGAAAATGCCTAAGAAAGAATACGGTACTGAATTAGCGCTAGTCATGCTGAAAACCAGCACTGAGTTCTAGTCTGTGACATTAAACAATCCATTTCAGAACAGATTCAGAATTTACTCACTATAGGATGCTTGAATTTTTTCAGAATTACTGAGATTTTATTCAGATTTATAGTAATCTTGGGAAGTGTTATGTTTTAAGAACACACTCCACATGAATGAAGACTCAAAACAATGAAGATTAATTCCAACTAATATAAGCTTATTCAAAGTTAATTTAAAGATTTTTAAAGAGCTCTAAATATGCCAATATCATACGAATAGCCAATAGTGCAACAACAACGTGCAAAACTTTCTGTAATAGAACAACACAAGCAATTATACAGGTCAAGCACGCCGGGTAGAGCGGAGAAGCAGAACACGACTTGGGAAAAAGCACTTTATAATTGACACTGAATTACACCAACAGAATTCAAAAAATTATATACATGCAGATACAAAGAGCTAGGCTATTACAGGCTATTACAGCGTGCGCCAGTTGTTGAACTGACGCTTCCTTTCAAATTTGAACCATTACACTTACTCTTGTTTAAAATTCGCGCGCTGAGTGCGAACTACTGTAACAAGCAAATCATCAGACAGGTAATGAAAACAGAACACGAGGTGTGCAGGTTAACAAAATCAACGGCGAAGTTATTGTTCAGGCTCTGCTATTCTTGTATCACCTGGTCCAGGTAGTTGACTAGTTTTTTCCTGCAAGTAAAGAAAATGAAACACTGATTAATGTTATAATATAGGTGTTGTTTTGAATACACTACATCAATAAAATATCTTCAACAAATTTCCCGGGCCTATTGAGGCAAATTTTAGGGTTTCTAAGAAGGTATCTTTTATTTCCTACTATATTTTACCTTACTTTATCATTAAAGTACTACCAGATCCTGGAGGCTTTAATGTTTATAAGCTATGTCGAGCACTTTCAACATCTGACCTTTAAGAACCGATCAGACACGCGGGATTCAATGAAATACCATACGAAATCAAGTTGCGTCACCTTTTTTCAATTGGAGAAGATAGATACATTCTCCTATTTATTTTCTAGGTGCTTCTGCACATCTACACTCTCAGTTGGATTTCTGGCTCCCGAGATTTTAAGGTTTTTGGTCAAGGGTGAAGGTTAGGTTTAGGGTTAAATTTGGGATTTGTAGTTAGGATCATGGTTATATTTAGGGGAATCTTGAAAACTTGTGTCAGAAATAGCAATGGATCTCGAAGTACCATGACATACACTCACATGGAGGATTGTTTATTTCGCGTATGGTAAGATCTCCCTATAGATCATATTTGTGTTGACTGGGATACTTTCTTACAGCACACAGGCCACAACTATACGGTGCATTATGAAGTTTCCTACATCTTTTGTACCTGAATTCTGATTAGTTTTTCAAGGTTCACTGTGGTAGTTTAACTTTTCCGAAAACTTTTTCTTCTGGTTAATCACCATACATTTCACTCTGCCTCTCAAAATGATCCAGTATTATGAAAACCTGCATGAAAGAAATTATCATGAGGCAATAATTAGCCGCTAAAAATGTGGGCTTGAAAAAACCTGGAAGTATATAACTAGGATTGCTAATTACTGACCGAAGATCATTCATGTAGCAGCATTTTTTGTATTTTCGGAGTCGTCTGATCTCTGTATTCAATGGAGGATTAGAGAAAGTTGTGTTTGGCGCCGAGAGTATTGTAAATCGATTGTGCGGAAGCAGCACGTACGTCAGAAGCTGCGAACGCATTGGAGGACTTTCAAAATGTAGGGACCTTAAAAATTGCTAATGAAGACGACCTTTTTCACATACCATTATGTGGCCACGTTCACATGCAGGGGAAAAATCGGTGAATTAGACATGTTATAGTAATGAGACAACTTCGTGGAACCTTCATCTAGTCTGTATGTTTCGCTCTAGTAATTTTGTCCCTCAGACCACTAACACAATATTGTTAAATGTATTCTTGTAGTATGATTCGATTGCACAATTACTGGCAGTTAATAATATTATGTATGCTTAATATTCATGATATTTTCTGCACCATTAACCTGCTCCGCATTTCAAAAAAAGCGTAAACTGAGATGACTCAGTTTACTGAATACTTAAGTCATATATGGTCATGCATGTTAATTATGGAAATGCGTAATTTATGTAAGTGAATTTAATCTGTATCACTTTTAGGAGTGGCAGGTGGTAATGAGGTCTGTCAGTTAGTTAAATTCAGTGGAAGTAGTCGCTTTGGGACAAAGACATCCGAAAAACACTGGTGATTGCTTAACGACTTATGACCAGATACATTTGCATAATCAGTTGTAGGAATTGATTCTACATACAACAACAAATGAAGGTAAGTTAACTCATTCACTTATAACAATGCAGATATTCTTTGTCCCAGTTTGTGATACCGGATAACTTTGGATGTGGGTGCACAGTTCAGTGTACTTGAATTGAGGAGAAATTTAAACGTGACGCGATTTGGACACTAGGCAGTTTCCATCGAATAATGGGAGATATTTTTCAAACAAAGACTTTCATTTTGACTGTGCTCAGCTTTTACATAATAATAAACTTGTTTGCGTTGCAGCGAAATAAAGTTTTCTATCTAATGTTCCTGTGTTCTATTTGTTCTGCATGCGGTGGGAGTACGGCGTGCTGGACCGGTACTTCTTAGGATATGAACTCGTTACTATACGTAAGTGTAATTCTGTACGAACACTATCGATCGACATAAGTCTAGCCTAAACATTTGCCTAAAGTCACGCGAATACGTCTCCTAGCCATGGGTAAACAGCATAAAATACAATTATGGATAATACATCATTGAAAGTACACCGACAAGATATATACAGCGAGTGGCTATAGAGTCCTTGGAATGTAGTATAAATTCACAATGTTTAATGCTAACCGCATTGGTCTTATCATGGAAACCATTACGTGTCCGATCAAAATATTGCTTTGTTTTGGTGTTTTTCATCAAAGCAACCAGACCTTAAGCAGGCAGCGAATATGAACAGAGAATAATTTTTAATAAAGGCCTAGGTACATACTTTATCTCCCTGCTGAGCGTAAACTTCTATATACCTCCTGGTTGAGGTCGAACAACCCAACATCCAAACTGAAATGACCATTTATGTAAATTCAAACTCAAATTCCATGAACGATCCGATGCAACCACTTGAAAACGCTGGCTAACATTCTGTACAAGGAGTATTCTTGATCTGAAATAAAGAAGCAACTGGTTTTCAAACAGTTATCAATGTATTACTCAACTTACATGTACAGTCTGCCATGCTGACGCAAATGGCGCAAATGGAAAGTTCTAGAATTGACCCCATTTGATGCAGTAAAACAATCTAACATTACCTTATCTAACTTTCGTATCAAAGATCAAATTTCTTTCCTATTGTAAAACTACGATAAGACTGCTGACAAAAATGGAATAAATACATTATTGAATCAAAATAATACATCAATAAACTTTATCTCACGGATGCTGTTCACAACAAAGTTTTATAGGAGAATTGACTTCAAGCTTTATTTTTCCCAGGTATTTGTATCACACTCATCTGAAGTCTGGGTTTTTTGTTAATGCGAAGACAATATTTCTATATCTCTTTATGTGTTACACAGACAGACTATTTTGCAGACTGTTCTGACTGACTCTAATGTTAGATTGAACAAACAAACTGTAATTTATATAATAACTTATCCATCCCTGTACAATTGGTATGTTCCTGCATAAACAGGAATAAATATAAATATAAGAGTATAATATTGCGTAAATACAAAGATTATTGTGAGGTAGATGAGTGATATTTCAGTGAGGAGTGTATTCAAAGATCTGGAGGATTAGAACTTGTACGACAAGCTGACCTCTTAGAACTACCACGCATTTCTTTATGGTCCATATGGTAGTATTGATGTTTCGGCGCGATTCTGAACTATGAAAGTTGGTTTAAACATCTAAAAGATTCCAATTATGGAAACTAGAGTAACACTTTCTATCTGTTCGGAGTATTTCCCTTGACGCAGTTTCTTATCAACAATTTGCAGTATTCCTAGTGATTTTATAGGAAGCTTGATTTCTTCTTCATTTTCATCAACTATCCCTTCAAGTACAATATCATGCAGTAACTATATATACGCAAGCATTGTAACCTGAACAGGTGTAGTATTTGTAGGTACTAGGTACTAGTAAACAGAAAGCTGATACTAGTTTTAAGCAGTCTGACATTTTAGAAGGGCCATCTATACTATTCTTCTCGCCCCAGTGCACACTGATATCAACATAATCTGATTCTGTTTTATGCACTGAGGAATTACGGTCCTCCGAAATTCCACGTGGCAATATAAATTAAACTTCTATCACATCTTCGCTTGAGCAATTTTAACTGGGAACTTCATCGAAATGGATATAATCACTAGGAAATTCAGCAGCTTGTCTCATTTATCGCATGATCTCTTTAGTGTTATGGAATATTTCAATCTTCACGGGTGATAATAAAAGTGTTTAACATCTCAAAACGTACATTTAACTTATGTCTGTGGGCTACTTCTCTTTCAAGTGCATGATTCTCATAGAATAACTGATATGAAAACAACCATTGCTTGTAGTCAATTTACAACCTTAAGATCCCAAACAACCCACAAATAGCAGAGTTTTAAGGCTCTAAAACGCAAATAATAGTCTTCCTATGCGAAAATTCCTATGAAGGATGACATTTTAGTAATAATTCGTCTGGGATATCAAGACACTTTTACGCATTAATGCGAAAACAATACAGGAAAATATTTCCTTTTGCGGCTACAGAAGCCTGAAACTAGTCAAATATAATCTATTTTCACAAAAGTGAACGATTATAACGTCTCAGTAGGCATGAACGCAATAACCCATACAGTGCGCGAAAATACACCGCGATAGCGTTTATCCTCACCTCCTTAGGAATGGTGCTTAAATCCAAAAAAGGCGCAAAATACAAGGAGCAAGATAGAGGTAAAAAAGATGTTGAGGCAGCTCATCCATACGGACTGCTTATCAAGAATCTATTTAATCTCCGTCGTGTCATAAGTTATAGTAACTAAAGCTAATGGCATCGCCTGAACTCAATTCAAAATCGTACGCCAGTTATGTATGGCAGTATCGACTTTCGGAAAAAAGGATACATTCGACGAGAAATAATTGGGTATATGTACATAAATATTTGTCTTAGTAATTAAACAACTTATACAGACATCAGTCCCACTAAAAATGTGGACGACCGGATTGCTACTTCTTTGGGTATGATGGGATGCAGTGTGATAACTGCAACCTATGGTTTCACAAAGATTGCAACGGTTTATGACCACCAGTCTAAGGGAGATATAGTGAGTCACCGTCTACGTGAGTGTGCAAGTTTTGTAGCAGCCCGTTATACTTCCTGATCTATGAGGCCGCTGAACTTCTTATGTCCAGAAAATTGACAAAACGCCGGATGAAGGAAAAAGGCCACCATCGGGAATCGATGCCAGGAATGTTGTTT